TTGCATGTGTAAATCTGGCTTACACCCGTTGTATGCGAATGTTAGAATCTATCACACCCGATCATCACGTGGTGCTTCGAAGCAACGAACTTTCACAATGGTGCACAGTTAGGGGAAACACTTTCTTGAAATTTTAGTGAGGGATCATCTTATTTATGCTACCGTCGTTCTAAGCAAATAAGATGTAAACATGATAAACATCACATCCAAATCATAAAGTGACATGATATGGCCATTATCATCTTGTGCCTTTGATCTCCATCTTTGAAGCGCGTCATGATCACCTTCGTCGCCGGCATGACAGCATGATCTCCATCATCGTGTCTTCATGAAGTTGTCTCGCCAACTATTACTTCTACTACTATGGCTAATGGTTAGAAATAAAGTAAAGTAATTACATGGCGCTTTCAATGACACGCAGGCCATACAAAAAATTAAGACAACTCCTATGGCTCCTGCCAGTTGTCATACTCATCGACATCCAAGTCGTGATTCCTATTATAAGAACATGATCAATCTCATACATCACATATCATTCATCATATTCTTTTGGCCATATCACATCACATAACATACCCTGCAAACACAAGTTAGACGTCCTCTAATTATTGTTGCATGTTTTACGTGGCTGCTACGGGTTTCTAGCAAGAACGTTTCTTACCGACGCAAAAGCCACCACGGTGATATGCCAATTGCCATTACCCTTCATAAGGACCCTTTTCATCGAATCCGATCCGACTAAAGTGGGAGAGACTGGCACCCGCTATCCACCTTATGCAACAAGTGCATGTCAGTCGGTGGAACCTGTCTCACGTAAGTGTACGTGTAAGGTTGGTCCGAGCCACTTCATCCCACAATACCGTTGAAACAAGATAGGACTAGTAACGGTAAGCAAGTTGAACAAACCAACGCCCACAACTACTTGTGTTCTACTCGTGCATAGAATCTACGCATAGACCTAGCTCATGATGCCATTGTTGGGGAACGTAGCAATAATTCAAAAATTTCTACGCATCACCAAGATCAATCTAGGAGATTCTAGCAACAAGAGAGAGAGGATGAGCATCTTCATACCTTTGAAGATCGCTAAGCGGAAGCGTTACTTAGAACACGGATGATGGAGTCATACTCGCGGCGATTCAAATTGCGGAAGATCCGATCTACGCCGAACGGACGGCGCCTCCGTGTTCAACACATGTACAGCCCGAGGACATCTCCTCCTTGATCCAGCAAGTGGAGAGGAGAAGTTGAGGGAGAGCTCCGGCAGCACGACGGCATGGTGGTGGAGCTAGTGGTTCTCCTGCAGGGCTTCACCAAGCACTATGGATCAGGAGGAGGTGTTGGAGGTGGGAGGGGATGCGCCAATGGAAGGGGTTAGGCAGCCCTCTCACCCCCACTATTTATAGGGGAAGGGGGGAGGGGGCCGGCCCCCTTAGATCTCATCTAGGGGGGAGGCGGCCAAAGGGGGGAGCTTGCCCCCCAAGTTTGGTGGGAGGCGCCCCCACCCCCTAGGGTTTTCGACCCTAGGCGCCTTGGGCCCTTGGGAGGGCGCACCAGCCCACTAGGGGCTTGTTCCCACCCTTTGTTCAGCCCACTAAGTCCCCTGGGCAGGTGGCCCCACCCAGTGGACCCCTGGACACCTTTCGGTGGTCCCGATACAATACCGATAACCCCGAAACTATTCCGGTGACTGAAACTGTACTTCCCATATATAAATCTTTACCTTCGGACCATTCCGGAACTCCTCATGAAGTCCAGGATCTCATTCGGAACTCCGAACAACATTCGGTAACCACATACTAATTCCCATAACAACTCTAGTGTCACCAAATCTTAAGTGTGTAGACCCTACGGGTTCGGGAATCATGCAGACATGACCGAGACAGCTCTCTGGCAAATAACCAACAGCGGGATCTGGATACCCATGTTGGCTCCCACATGTTCCACAATGATCTCATCGGATGAACCACGATGTCAGGGATTCAATCAATCCCGTATACAATTCCCTTTGCCAATAGGTATGTTACTTGCCCAAGATTCGATCGTCGTATCCCAATACCTCGTTCAATCTTGTTACCGGCAAGTTACTTTACTCGTTCCATAATGCATGATCCCGTGACTAACTACTTAGTCACATTGAGCTCATTATGATGATGCATTACCGAGTGGGCCCAGAGATACCTCTCCGTCATACGGAGTGACAAATCCCAGTCTCGATTCGTGCCAACCCAACAGACACTTTTGGAGATACCTGTAGTGTAACTTTGTAGCCAACCAGTTACTTGTGACGTTTGGTACACCCAAAGCATTCCTACGGTATCCGGGAGTTGCACAATCTCATGGTCTAAGGAAATGATACTTGACATTAGAAACGCTTTTAGCAAATGAACTACACGATCTTGTGCTATGCTTAGGATTGGGTCTTGTCCATCACATAATTCTCCTAATGATGTGATCCCGTTATCAATGACATCTAATGTCCATGGTCAGGAAACCATAACCATGTATTGATCAACGAGCTAGTCAACTAGAGGCTCACTAGGGACATGTGGTAGTCTATGTATTCACACATGTATTACGATTTCCGGTTAATACAATTATAGCATGAACAATAGACAATTATCATGAACAAGGAAATATAATAATAACCATTTTATTATTGCCTCTAGGGCATATTTCCAACAAGGACACCCGGAAGTCTTCATGCATGAGCCCCTAAGGACCATCTCCTTGAAATTGCAGTCATCTCCATTGAACCCTTGATCGATCTGTGAAATCTGGCATCAAATCTCGTTGTCATGTACGCACTGTGAGAAACTCTAACCTCGCCACCCGAGGAACTGGCAGGAATATACGCCAAAGCTCCGTCTAATCTATACTGATCGATTAACTTGAGGAGGGTAGGATCCCGGAAGATTGACTCAATAAAGAAGCTCCGCCATTCGTCCAGGAGCTGCCCTTATGACGATTAAAATCCTACCTATCTACTTGCAGGAGCCGAGGCAGCAAATTCTCCTACCCTCAACCGGTCGCCGAAGTGGCGGGCACATGGGAGACGAATTTATGGGCTAGTGACAGAGATTGAGGGGACGAAGGCTTTTGTAGTCACGCTGAGAATGCGGAAAGAAAATCACTTATAAGAGCATCTCCAACTATAGACCATAAAACGCAGCCGATTGGTAAACAAATGAAAATTTTAGTTTTTAGGGCCAAAAAACGGCTCCAACAGTAGAAGCAAACCTGCATGGCAACCAAAATTTTGTAGGCTAATACCTAAATTTTGCTATAGGATTGAGAAATATGGGTCTCCACCAGTTGGAGACCAAAAACACCAAAATTGGCGCCAAACCCAACCAATGTTTGGTGAAATTTCATGAACACCTCACCCGCCTCCATGCTGACCGATTCTGGTCATCGCTGTCATTCCTGCGGTCGCCCCGAGCCTGCTACTACCCCGCCGCTTAATCCCATCATCCAGGGGCCACCGTCGCGACCCTCACGATCGCCATTGTGTGGACCCACCAAATTTGATCGCTCCACAATGTTGATCCCGCCCCGCCGCCAGCCCTAAGCTCCTCATCGTTGTCTAGAGCTCCCCTCCTCCGCCCCTGAACTTCCCCGCCGCTAGATACCGCCATCAAAGTCTCCATCTGTGCCAGACAGATCGTCATGTTTTATGTGGTCCTGAAAATATGGGTATCAGTTTTGGGCCTGTTGTAAAAGGAGACAATTTGTTTTCTACCTAAATCCTTGTGTCTCCAGAACAAAAACTAATTTTAGGTATCCAACTATTGGCCTGCTGTAGAAGATGATCTAGGTCTAAAATCATCTCTAGTTGATTCCTCAAAATTTAGGCCCTCAAAATCCCCTTATACCTTAACTCCTTATATTGGAGGAGTTAAGAAAAAGCCGTTTCTAGAAAACCCCTAAAACCTAACTCTTCAAAAAATATTAGGGAAACCAATAGAGTTGCTCATGAACTAGCTAGGTTAGCGGGAGTTTTCGAGACAAATTAGTGGATTGAGGAGCCTATAAGTGGTGTTGTATCTTTTCCTATAGACGGTGTAACCCTTATTTCCAACGAATAAAGTAATTCATTTTTTTAAAATAACAACTCAATTTTATTATCACAAATTCGTTTATTTTTAGGCCATCAAAGTTAAGCCTTACTAGTCAGTTACTTCATTAAACGGCATCTTGGGCATATACTTTACCAGTTCCTCACTAGGAGAACTCATCCAAAGAAAATGACAAGGAAACTCACACACTTCAATAGAAACACAAGTCCCTTGACTGCTCCTACAAATCAAATCAATAATTTGTTCATCTCCGTATGTTCATTGCCAATATTTTTGCTCTTCTCTAATGACTTCTCTAGCTTGTACACTTGTTTCTTTTTCGCCTCCTCAAACTTGGACACGGTGTCTTCTGTAACCCCCCCCCCACCCCCCAAACCAAATGACGCAACCTTTCTACATAAAAATACGCAAACAATGAACACAAATTGATTTAAACCAAAGAACAACTACACAAAATTGCACTTAGAGCGTGTTATTAAACTTCCTAGCTTCTTCAAAACCTCCAAAGTTTGGTGTCACGCGTGGCTTCTCGCTTTATGTGGCAAGTAGGAAATTGTTCGGATACGTTCGGCATGACAACTTCTCGATTTGGTCACTGTACCAGGCCTCCCGCCCATTTTAGCGCATGTGGCCCAATCTGATTTGGGGAAAAGAGACTAGCCTTTGAGCCCGTTTGCTGCCAACGTCGTCTCCTTGTGCATGTGTGGAACATCTAGTCGCGCAGGAGAGAAAAAGAATGAGCGAATCAGTTCGCTACAAACTCACTTAGCGGTGGCATCTGGTTGTGATATGTCTCAACTCTTGCTTCTTCAATTGCAGCTGGGAAAGGCCAGCTTCTCAACTCCTCCGTTTTACACTACACGGACAACTGGCTTCTCAATTTTAAACTCAACGGAGTCTTTTTTGCGAGGAAAAGAGAGTTTATTCCATAATGAGAGAGTTACAGTCGAGAGGCAAAAGATCCTCAATACATTGTGGACCTAGGTGCAACCACACAGCCGTGGTGCACTCTAAACGACTATAATTTGCCAAACTATCGGCAACTCTATTTTGATCCCTAGATAATTTCCGGGGAATAAACTCCCGGTCTTTCATCAACTCCTTAATTTCAGCCACCAAATGTCCATAGGCAGAATGAACTAGTCCATCTCTTGTAAGAGTAGACAAAGCTTCACCTGAATTAGATTGGACAATGACTGGAATGTTAGATTGTTGTAAAGCAAGCATCATTCCTTACATGATTGCATGTAACTCCGCTTCCAGTGCATCGTTGCAATTGAAAATAAACCAATATGTAGCAAAAATAACTGATGCATTATGATGTCAGAGAATCATCCCTGCCGCCGCTGCACCAGACTCCCCTGAAAAGGACCCATCCACTGACAGAGCAACATAATCAGTAGGAGGAGGCAACCAAAGCTTAGGAGCTGCAACCATACTTACTTCAGGCAAAGTCCAACTAGCAACCGGCATTTTACCCTTAATAATTTCCTCTATGTTATACTTACTAGCATCTCCAATTGACTTCATATAACTCTCCAAATAGTCCACCGTAGTAGCCACCGGGGGAACCTCTTTATCATGAGTAAGATAATTCCGTAATTGCCAGATGTGCCATATAAGCATAAGAACACGGTCGCGCTCGGCATTGTTATAATTAATCAGCAGGTTTAGCAACCACTCTTTCCCATTGTTATTTTTTTCAAACTCGGAGGAGTCAGAGCGTCTGGCTCAGCTTCAATCGTGGAGTTGGAGAAGTTGGCTTCCGAAACCGAACAGGCCTTTAGTTTGTCCATTTCACACTTGTAGAAAACCAATCTGTTCTACCATCTTTAAGACACGATGCATCACCGGTCGCCAGCAATGATCACACTTGATGATTGATATTAGGCTTGCCGGCAATTTGTTGGGCGAGGGATGTGCCCAGTCGACCGGTGGATGGACGATGAGCGAGATGCGAGCGTCGAGAAGTGGAAGACATACCGTGAGGTGGTACAGAGCGCGGTGGCTGCATGGTTCGGTTTTCGACAAATCTTGACGATACACGATAGTGTCGGGACCTAGGTGAGTCGAATCCGGTGACAACGTCGAGCGGTGATCGAATCTAAGTGGGCCGGAGGAGCAGGAGGTGCTACGAGGTGTTTGTAGTGGTCTGTGGTGGCCAGCGGAGGTAAGGACGGCCACGCCGGAGTGGATACCATCGAACAGGGGAGAACAGCGACCATGGGGAAGGAGAGAAATTATCCTGAGAAGTGGCGCCGGTCGAGCAAATATAAGCGGCGGCCAATGCGAGAAGTAAAATTTGAGGAGTCTTCTAGATCCGGTTTAACTCCTCGAAACGAAAATTTTAGGGAGTTACCCGATTTTGAGGGATCGACTAGAGATGCTCTAAGCCTTCCATCAGCATCATCTCTTATTTGTACTGTTGACCGTTTAGGGCTTTATGAAGTCATATTAAAGCCGGGCTCATCTAAGCATTCTGTCTAAAATGATAATGTACTGTACTAGATAGACATAACATTGTTCGACCTCTACAATATGCTGTACATCTGCATCGACAAAGGAGGATGGTCCCTCCTAATTTCGTTCACGAAGGACTTAACGTTCCGTTGCGCCAAGCTCGTCGCCTCGGCCGTCACGACTCTCTCCCTCAGCGCGTCCATCTTCTCCTGCAGACGCCTCCCTTCATTGCCGTCCATGACCCTCTCGATGCAGTCCTTCACCTCGTCCCTGCTCATGCCGCCGCCGAGCCTGATCCCGATCCCCCACACCCGGGTGATGTACGCGCAGTTGATGAACTGGTCCCCGGAGACGGGGCAGCACAGCAGCCGCACCCCGTGCCGTATTGCCTCGACGGTGGAGTTCCAGCCGCAGTGCGTGAGGTAGCAGCCGACGGCGTCGTGCGTGAGCACCTCCTCCTGCGGCGCCCAGCCCACCACCTTGCCGCGGCCGGCCGCGGCCACCCTCTCGGCGTAGCCGTCGGGGAGCCCCGCGCGCCACGACGGGTCCTTCTTGAGCGCCCACAGGAAGGGCCGGCCGGTGGCCTCCAGCCCCAGCGCGAGCTCACGGACCTTCTCGAGCCCGATCGGCCCCACCCAGCTGCCGAACGAGACGTACACCACTGACGCCGCACGTTGCATGTCCAGCCAGCCCATGCACGTCGAGTCTGCCTGCCACATGCTGCTGGGTTGCTGCTTGCACGGTGCCACCGGGGGCCCGTCGCCTTTCGCTCGCTGCTCCGTGCTGTTGTCGCCCCCGCCGGCCGCCAACAGCGGCCCCACAGGGAAGACCCGCGGGCCCTGCCGCGCCGGGTGGCCGTCGTCTGCTGCGGCGGCAAGATCGCCGGCCTCGCCGGGGAAGGAGTTGACGAGGACGGAACGGAAGCTCCGCGCGCGGTGCAGAGCCCGGAGCCAGAACGCGAACCTCGATTTCTGGGTAGCCGAGTCACCCACGAGCCATGGCAGCTCTTCGTTCTTGAGCTCTACCTCTGCCGGCAAGATGTTGAGGGCTCGAAGCATCTTGCCCTGGCTGAGCCCGTCGTCGTCGGACTGATTCTGCGATGATTGAGGGGTGCCTGCACGTTCGGAATCATGAAATATACGTACAAAATTCGTCGATTATTATGTGGTTGATCACATGCATGCAGACATGAAGTGCACTCGTGCCGACATCACTAGATCAGAGTCACGAACTTTGGAGCTCAGCCCGGGGCGCCACCATCTGGCTCACGTGCGTGATCGGTGAAGTTCAATCATGCACCCCAAGCTCATCCGATCTAGTGGTGCCAAGGGACCGAGTTGGCAACTGCACTCACATCGCTTGATGTAGTACATGTACTGCTCGTACGTCAGTACGTGATTGCTCTTCTCGACCGGTCGATGGATCGGCTGGTCAGGCCAACTGGCCAAGTCGATCGTGTTGTCGTCTTCCGCATCGTCTACTGCGCATGGTGGTTGCTTGCTACACCATAATCGGAAGAGAAAGACTATTCCCCGCTCCATATATGAGAAAAGGTTACACTGCACTGCACGAGCCAGCCAGGCACAGGGCTCAGGTTGGTTCGTCGAATAGCCTGTGTCTATGTCTAAAGAAAAAGGACGCATGCAGCTGATTTAGTTTCTCTACTACGGAAAAACCCGTGCATGGATCCCACAAATTGCTAGTACAGACGTAAAAGAGGGGCAAAAAATCAATCGCCCAAATGATTCGACAAGATCTGTTAATCGGCCGAGGCGACTCAAGCATCAATTATTCGTTAAATATTATCCCCGCTACATGTGCGAGCGTACTGCATGGTGCATGCACATCTCGCCGTGATATTATACCCTCCGTAAGCGCAGTGTATGGTGGAATGAAAGAACCGTATCATGTGTCGACTGCCCATTTGCCGAGGGAGAGGGGTCAACTTGGTGAGTTATCATCTGGTCCAAATGTGATCTGCTAGAAAAAGGCTGCCTCAGAAATGTGTTTGCTGGCCCTGGCCGGCCCCAAGACAAGATGGATCAGATCCACAGAGCACTCGGCTGGAGAGGGACCAAACCAAAACAAAGACGGGTCCCTGATGAAATCTATATTTTCACATGCGAAAGCTAATCATGTTTGGCCATTATCATCAACTCTCCAAGCAGCTGTAGCAAATACTCCAAAACGGAGGAGTTGTACGTAACGGTTCCAAGTTCCAACGACTGAACGCCGCACGCCACTTATCCTCCTGGGCTCCTGGCATGTTCAGTGTGGTTGGTAACAATATGCATGCATGCGTAGATCATGAATAGTTTCTGTGACTTTCATGGTTTCCCGGTCGTGTATCAACAACTTTCCTTTCCTCACATGGTGAATATGTTGTGGAGCTAGCTCCCCTCATGATCTCATCTAATTAAGCTGAGATGTTTGACGAGTATGGTGTGGTGCGTGGAGACTTTTTTTTTGGCATGATAAGTGGTGTGTGGAGACTGAAAGATCTCAGAGACACATATTTCTATCTGGGGGAGCATCGTACGTAGTGCTTCGAGCCTTAGATTTAGGATCATGCCTGACGTACCACTAACACTTTTGTTGCAACTTGCGACCGTACGTACAAAAGCATGTGGGGGCGTGTGGCATGCATGCCACACCAAGCATGTTAACTTCTTAACCTTATAGTTTATTATTCCCGATTAGAAAAGATCTTAAGCTCTTAGTTTTTCGATCGCCAGGTCAACTCTAACCATGTTACGCGCAGTCCAGTGTACGTCGTAGGGAAAGAGAGTAAGGGAACCAACTGCATGGCGTACCAGATTCTGAGATGAGCCCCTCCTCCATGAGCTCCGGGATGGCGGCCACGACGCGGTAGCTCGCCAGCATCGCGGGCCAGAACCCGGCCGCCGGCACGCCGCACCGCTCGGCCACGGGGACGGCCCACGACGCCAGCACGTCCACCACGACGCACGCCACGCGGCGGCGCGCCAGCAGGCGCTCCAGGTGCGCGGGCATGTGGTGCTCCATGGCGTGCCCGAAGTCTGCGAACCCTGGCGGGTCGCCGTCGCCGACGTCCGCGACGCCGCTGGGGATGGACGCAAGCGCCACGCCGTCCTCGTCGCTGCCGGCCGCCGTCCCCGCGATGCGGCGGTAGATGAAGTCCGGCACGGCGACGGTGACCGCGGCGCCGTGCGCGGCGAGGGCGCGCGCCAGGCGCAGCATGGGCGTGACGTGGCCCTGCGCCGGGAACGGCACGAGGAGCACGGCCGGCGGGGTGGCTGCCTCGGCCCCCATGCCGTCGACGTCTCGCGTCTACGGATCGGCTGTTGGATCGTCGATCTCCGTGCCTCGGCTCAATTAGTTTGGACACATGTGGCTGTGGCCAGCGGATGCGTCGTGAGTGGAATTTATAGTGGTGATCGCGTGCTGAGCCAATTCCCTGCTGGCTCTGTCGCTTTCCGTTTCTTTAAGCTACACGTTTTATTTCCCTCGCTCTCCCCGACAAAGCTTATTTGGCCAATTGGGGAATGAGTTAAATTTCCGGCTGCGCGTGTTTAACCAACCTCAGGGTCCGTAAAAAGGGCAAATCAAGATGGCTGGCCGTCCGCTTTTAGCAGTGGGTCGCAGCAAATGCGCGCGCGTGCCGTTTCTTTCCAAACGGAGTATCGAATTGAACACGTGACCGATTAGGGACAGTTTTGTTTTTTTAGCTGCTCCGAACACCCCCGAGCTTTGCATGCATGCATGCGCGCCACTGGCAGAACCGCACCGCA